GAGCCAAAGACACTCTTTATCCTAATTTTAAAGATAAAGATTGTGATAAAGAGAGCATTGGAGATGAAATTTGGATCAAACCTCTTTATTATAAAGACAAATCTTAATATAAAGAGAGCATTGGAGATGCTCTTAGGATGGGATAGCTATACATTTGAAATGGATCTCTAGCTAGAAACGAGACTTGTTAGAAGAAAAGGCAAAGCCCATTGATCCTACCACATTCATGCTTTTAGTCCAAAAGGGTTCCGACCCATATTAGTTTTACATCTCGACCTCGGAGAGGCTTGCGTGCAATGTGTTGACGGAAAATCCTTCTTTCTAGTCTTGAAGTTGGGGAAACCAAGCTCAATTTGAGGAAGAAGTCTAATCCTACGGTTCGAACTTTTAATGTCCAATTAATCATCAAAATATTTTACTAACAAAAAATATCATCAACATAAAACATATCGGTCCTCGTTTGATCATATAAACCTTTGTCATTTGCTTTTGGTTTTTGAATGTTAAAAAAATAAAAGTAAATATAGATATCACACAAAAACCATGTGACAACAATTTCTAAACTCCTAATATTTTATCAAAATCCGAACTACAAAAAATAATCATATCAATTGGTTGATCAGTTGGTTGGATGATTCTTCATGCATATGCCATGACGGACTTAAAACTAAGGTACGTAAATTTAATCTCGACTTGCCATGATACCTCACACTTTTAAGTTAAAAATGAAAAATAAAAAAAGAAAGATGCTAGTGCAATCCAACAATCCTTTCATATTATCAAAACAAAAACAAACAAAAAATAAAAATAAAAATCATTGCTTCAAGAAATAAACCTCCAAAAAGCAAGTCGAAAACCAAATACGCTAAAGGGCCAACATAATCTTCTGCTAATTGTTATCTCAAAGCACTTTCGAACACTAGTGGTATCTTGTACATAGGATAGGATAACCATAGTATTTTTGAACTTCGTTACAAAGTGTATTTATCTTAATGTAAATATACTGTAAGTACATATCTTTGTTAATTAAATAAATTAACTTTTCTCCCAATCTATCTATACACCACATTGAAAAAAAAAAAAAGGCTAGAACAATAATGCTAAACCTTATAATGGATTCTTACTAAACATTTTCAACTTTGTTTGAAGATTTGAAGGACAACTATCTCTCGTGCAGAGTATATATGCTAATTAAAGCATATCGGCAAAGATGAGGAAAGGAGAATATTATTGTGGATTGAGGGGAAGACCTCTTTTCCTCCCTTTTATCACTTTCATTCTTGCATCCATGAACCTTTGGACCGAAGAAAACAATCTATTCTATTTTCACATGACCAAAGAGTTTGTAACTCGGTGGTAATTTACTAGGAGTCTTGAGTGTGTAAGTAAAAAAAATAATAATTTATTTTCACATTTAAAGAACTTGCACTACAAAAAAAGAGCCAATAATCGATCGCTAATCGCTCTAAATCCATCACTAACTCGTCATTAGCGATGGACCAACGACGAACGACTTGTCCGTCGCTATTTTGCTTGTAACTAATTTTTAGCGAGGGAAAAATCCATTTCGTCGCTAATCCATCACCGTTTTCATTGTAGAACCGTTGTGGTCTCCGTCACTAATCCGATGCTATTCCATCGCTATATTTTCAAAAAAAATAAATATTTTTTTTCATTTTATTTTGTTTTTTTAATTATTAATATTGCATTTAATAATTAATAATTCATATTGGATGTAATAGTTAATAATTAAAAGTAATAACGTATAGATTGAAAATGAATTAATTTTAACAATAACATTCGAGTAATACGTTCGGTAAAATAAAACAAAGTTACTAAATGTTTGTTCTATCACTCATCCTACTCATTTAATCTCATATCCTCCTTCTAGTACTATGTGGAGGGCTCGGTGGGAGGATCGGGTGGAGGCCGAACGGGAGGTCGTGTGGAAGGAACGATAGATTGTCGACTAGTTGACATATCTATAGGCAACCAATAAATTAAAAATTTCTTAAGAAATAATTAACAAAATTTAACTAAAGTACGTGCAAAATTATATAATTTAAAAATTAACTTAAAACAAACAACTAATAAAATTCACCTAATACTTAACACAATTAATCAATTAACTAATTAATAAATTTAAAATAACAATTAAAGATTAAATAATTAAATTTTAATCTAAAAATTAAAAATAAATCAACCTTAACTAAATTACTTAAAAAATTACATTAATAAAATTAAACCTAAAAAATTAACGTAATTAAAAATTATTAGGTTAAAATTAACATAAAAATTAACATAATTAAAAAATAACACTTAAAAAAATTAATCTAACAATTAAGAAAATTAAATAAAAAATTTACGCTAATAATTAACAAATAAATTAACACAATTAAAAATTAACAAAATTCAAACAATTAATCAACTAACAAATAACAAAATTAACCTAAAAGTTTATAAAATTCATTTAATTAAAAAAAAAAGAGTTAAAGAGAGAAAGTTTTACCAAAGAGATCGAGGAGAGAGAGTAGAGATTTTGTCGGATTTTCGGGGAGAAAGATGCACCTCACCGAGTTGAATGGTTTATAGAGTCACTTGGTGACAAGGGGTGGCGTAAGTGGTGGTTTTCCGGCCGACGATGGATTTTTGGGTGGAGGAGAGAGGAGACCAAATGGGAAAGAATAAGAGAAACTGGGTATTTATAGGCTCAAAGATTAGCGATGGAATCGCTTCCGTTGCTAATTAGCGACGGAATCACAAATCCGTAGCTAATTTGAATCGTTTGGGTGGAAAAATTTCCACCCAAAATTTCAAAATAGTGACGGATTTCACAAGCCGTTGCTAATTTGTGATTTTAGTGAGAAAATTCCCACCGAAATCGTAAAAAATAGCGACATATTTTCAAATTCGTCGCTATTTTTGGTTTCAAATTAGCGATGGAATCGCAAATCCGTCGCTAATTTGAATCGTTTGGGTGAAAAAATTTCCATCCAAAATTTCAAAATAGCAATGGATTTAATTTGCGATTTTGGTGGGAAAATTCCCATCGAAATTGCAAAAAATAGCAATAGATTTTCAAATCCGTTGCTAATTTGAACCCCAAAAAGCAACCCATTATCTTTTATTTAGCAACGAAATAAATCCGTCGCTATTTACCGATTGATGACGACGGATCTTATTTTGTAGCTAAATTAGTGATGAAAATTTGTCGCTAAACATGATGCTTTTTTTTACCGTGTAATTTTACGGAATTAAGTTTCCCTCACTATTCGGTTGCTAATCTGTCGTAAAAATCGTATTTTTCTCGTCTTTCGCTAATCCGTCATTAATTTTTCTTTAATTACGGACGGAATAGTATCCGTCGCTAAAATATGTCACTAATTGTCAATTTGCTTGTAGTGTTGACACCGAATCCAAGTTCCGTATATATTTGATGAAGTAATATGTAAATATTAAGGACATTTTTATCTTTTTATTTTTCTCAAAGGAGAGATTGGAACTCAAAATATCAAAGGAATGGGGACATGGTGCCGGTTGAGTTACGAGCTCATTGCTAAAGAATTATGCTTAAGTTTTTTTTCTTTGATTTCTTGTAGATGTCATAAATAATTATGCACTGTCTTTGTATCCAAAGTACCCTATTCATCCGGAACAAAATTCTTATCCGGACACAACAAGTGAAACAAAACAAGAGCTTGAAACTTTTGGTCTTCAAGTAAATAATTTCTCCACTTCCTTCCCTCTACAAATAAATGAAAGCAATGGGGATATTTGGACATCTTCCGATACGAAGGTAATCGAAGTCCCCTTCATACAGACTATAATTTTAAGCATATACAAATATGTTTCTCTTGTCCGCTCGATCCATAAATTTTTTATATGGTTCTCCTTTACACGATTGGTAACTTTGCCAAGGGTAGGTGGGTTGCGGACAACGAGTGGCCTTTGTTCTCCGGTAAAAAAACGAGATGTTGGTTGTCGGGAATGTGGGCTTATAGACGAACAAACCGAACAGATTTTTCTTATGAGGGATATCGGTGGCGACGAGAAAATTGTAACTTGAAAAAGTTGGAGTGGACTACCTTCTGAAAAGGTAGGCTTGTCCGGCTATTTTAATCGGATACGTACAAATTCTCCATCGGTTCCCTCCAATATGGAGCAATTAAAATCAATCAAGGAATCATCTTGAAAAGGCCCACACTATTTTTAGTTTTTATTTTTTTATTTTTAATTAGCGAAGAATTAGGGATGGCAGGATTCGAATGAGTGATACTTTTATAATTAAAACTTTGATACCATTTTTATTAACTCTTTAATAGCGTCTTTGGAAAAATCCAAAACCATGCGGTTTGTATGGACCAAATATTTCGTGGCCCGATCGGACCAAGGCACGGCTTAACCGCAAAGGTCTAGGTCTAGTAACTAGCTATTATCCAGAATCATATTTTGTATAGTCTTTCAAAAAAAAATTGCATATATTATGGAAAATTATAGAACCATTTCGAAATTTTATGGTTGGTCCGGAGAAGACCATAGAATAAGGCTTTTCTTTGGATTTTTTCCTTTGGAATTGTGAGTAGAATTTCCTTCACCGAATACTCGAATCTCCGAAGTTTTCTCAAATTGAAATGTTGAAGGATATAGCTATTCCCTTCAATAGTCAGCTACTTAGAAATAACTCGTTAATGTTCAATTCTCTCAATGTGTCCGTTTTACCTTTTAGAATGCAGGATAAAACAATTGCCTTCATAGGAGATTCAATAGGCGGACATCAATTCCAATCTTTGATGTGTATAGCCACCTGGAGGAGAAGGCGAGTTATAGAGTTGAAAATGTTGGTAAAGAGTACGGACTAATCAAACACCTTAGATGGACTTGGCCAAATGACTTTGCTTATAGGTTTACAAACACAAACACCACCATTCTATATTACTCGGTCATCAAGCCTTGCAGATTTAGAGCCCCTAAATAAGGCAAATTCAAACACCAATATTGCAATGCATTTAGACCGTCCGCCGACTTTTATGAGACAATTCCTCCATGAGCTTGATGTACTAGTTATCAATACGAGAAACTATTGGAATAAAGGAAAGTTCAAGAAAAATCGTAGGCAAATTTATGTAAATGGAAAGCCTAATGAAGATGGAAAACTAGCAAGAATACCGATGCCAAGAACTTTACAATTCACGGTATTGTTAAGTGGCTTGATTCACAAATTTCCTTGCACCCTCGACTTAAAGTTTTCTTTAGGACTATTGCTCCGAGTAATTTCAATAGTGGAGAATGGAATACCTGGAGGAAGCTGCGATAATATTATTCCATTGACCGGAGGGAGTGAAGTTTTACAAGATGGATCAAGTGATGAAGATGTTGAAAGTGTTATCCATGGTACAAGAGTGAAAATTTTGGACATAACTGCTCTCTCCAAATTGAGAGATGAAGGTCACACATCACATTATAATACGAAGGCAAGCAAGGGTATAAATGACTCGCTTGCATTGGTGTTTGCCTAGAATTTCGGATACATTGAACAAACTTCTTGTTGCACAAATCTAGCTTCCTTCTAATGCACGGATATAGCTTATTTGTAACGCACTCTTAAAAGGGTGCAAGGTAACATAATCATTTATACGGATTCTATAGTCTAGGAGTTCAACAATCAACTATGATTTTTGTTTTTATTGTATGTATAAAGCATACGATGCTTGTTTTTATTGTATGTATAAAGTGTGTAATGATGCAGCTTCACAATTGAAAGTTAAAAAAATATTAGCAAAATGGGGTAGCCATAACTGAAACTTTTTTTAGAAGTGATAATCGAAACATTAACTAAGGGAGTGCTACTAGAGTACTAGTAAGGCTTTCTAAACATTAACAAAAACAACTACAAAAATAGAGGTCGTGACTATTCATTCACATTTCATTCTCTTACAAATTAATCACTATTTAATCTTTTTTTTTAATTTTAGATGGTGATATTTTTGTACTTTTTTAGACATTCATATGCAAATTTTACATTACATTTTATTTTAATCTCTAATGTTTTCAAAATATATTTTTTGTGTTAGGAAAAAAATATATTTTGAAATTAAATCTTTCTTCTAAGTTTGATATATTGTAAGTTTTCCACACGTAAACCTAGGCTTGTTCATTCCTTCAATCTTGAAGCTAACCCCTTGTATTGGGGAGAATTATATGACCATGTGATCCAATCCAACTTAACCTCACCAAGATATTAAGTAGTTACCTGGAGAGAATTACGCATCGACGTGACATGAGAGTAATATATTTTTTCCTTCTATAATGTTGAAAGAATGAGATTATGATATATCTTTTACCTTACACTTTTACTCTCTTTGTTTTTAGCTGTATATTTTTAACACATAGTTGCGTGACACCCACCCACCGAATTCCTAGATTGACCCAATTATATATATATAACAACTTGATTTATAAATATACATGTGTATTTATTTTTATTTTTACTTTTGACTCGTTTGAATTTTAAAACCGGATTCTTACCATTTAACCGGATTAACTTCTTACTCATTTTAATAACAAATTCAATTCAGCTCGAATTGTGGAGTTTTGAATCCGCCCATTAAATCGATCCGGTTTTGACAACCATGTGGGAAAGTAAAAAAGCACGAGTTGGATCAAGAAAGAGCTCTCGATCATAGTAGTAGTGGAGAGAGAATGTAGAGAGAGATGCTCTCCTCCTCGAGTGAGATTCCCTCCAGCCCGACTATCGTTCATCTTCTTCTTCCCATCATCCCGCCCCTTTCGTCAACCGAAACCCGCCCCGCCCCCGTTTTCCCTCCGTGCTTCCGCCATCCGCCGCCTCCTTCCCTCTTTCTCTCTCCTCGTTTTTCTTGTCCCCTTCCTCCCTTCTCTCGCCCACGACTCCATGGCCAAGAAAAGAGAAAATCCGCCACCAAAATCCCCCTCATCCGGGCGACCTAGTCCGCCATCTCCAGTCCCGGCTTTGGCGCCCCGCCTAGTGTTTCTCCTATTCCTCCCGTCATGGACACTGTTCACGATAGAAACCAAGTTCACACGGAGGCCAGTTGGAGCTCAATCCCGAGTTCACCCCGCTTCTCCGGACTTCCTCGTCGTTGAGGACCGGCTCTAGTGAGGGGTAAATCGCGCTCGATTCCGCCAAGCATGGAGGAAGATTTCGATCCGGTCTAACACTCGGTTTCTCGCCCAACGGATTTCAAATCGTTCTTCCCGTCCAAGAAACTTTCAAAGCCGACAGCCGACTTGTTGATGCAACCTCGGTTTCTCTGCGGCCTCCTCCCTTCCCCGTTATTGGAGCCCCCAAGCTCGAGCTCGACTCGTGTCTAGGACTCTAGCTCCCCCTCAATTTTTCAAACTTTAAATCTCCCGTTCGGGGGGCAGCTGTCCGGCCACATGGTTCCCGCCCAATTGCCCACCGCGAGACCTTCCTCTGCCCCCCGGCATCACGTCCGGGCTCTTCCTTTTCCTCTGCCTCGGACACCTCCGGTCGCCTAGGACGGCCTCTTCTGTCGCTTCTACTAAACCGAGTACCTCCGAACCCCCTTCGCAAAATGGAGGGCTCTATTCGCTAGTAATCGTAGCACCGCCGCATGCCCTAAGCTTACCCATTTTAGCACTATTACCGCATCACAAGCATACAACCTTCTTGATGATGATCCTCAATGTGATATTTTGAAACAATGCTTAATTGGCTATGTTGTTGGTAAATCCTCGAGCTATCGGGCATTGAAGGGTATTATCGAAAACACTTGAAAATGTGAGGCCTCTTTGTCGATCCATGATTCCGGTCGGTTAGTATACCATTTTACTTTTGAGGAGGCCAAGTCGTCGGTGCTAAACGGGGGCCCTTATTTGATCTATGGTCGTACTGCTACTCTTCAAGCCTATGTTTGCCTTCTTTGATTTCTCTAGTGTCGAAATGTCTTATGTGCTTGTCCGGGTTAAGCTCCCCAATCTTCCGCTTCAATGCTCGGTCTTTATGTTGTCTCTCAAAGATCGCTAGCCTCTTTGGGCGACCCGTTCAATATGGTCGTCTTACGACCTCCATGGAACGGATATCATATGCTCGGATCTTGGTTGAGTTGAATATAATGATGGATTTGTCGCGAATTCTTCACATTGGGCTTCCGAACGGTTCAACTCGAGCCATGCGATCATATATGAGACCCTCCTTACTCACTCGTAAGATTTGTCGCATTCCGGGGCACTCGACTAATACTTGCGCCAAGCGCACACCCGCGACATAGGCGCAACTCGTCGCGGTTGCGCCAATGTAAGTCCGCCTCCTCATCGGGGACCTACCGTTGCTACCGATCCAAATGCTAGTCGACCTTCCCACCGGTGCCTATCGATGTGGTTGCGCCGTGTACAAGTCCGCCTTTGCACCGGGTGCCTATTGATGCTTGTAATGCCTTCGGCTAAGCCGAGCGCAAACCCGCCTTTGCTTGCGTCGAGTGCAAGTCCGCCTTTGGTTGCGCCAAACGCAAATCCGCCGTTGGCTACGCCTAGTGCCCCTCCGCCTCCTCCTCGGGCTCCCGCCCGAATCGATCCTATGTGCTCGGGCAGGTACTGCTAGTTTAGGGGAATGGGTGTTAGTTACCAGCGAGGCTAAGGGTAAGGCCTCACAAAATGCCCGGCGTCGCCAACCCTCTTCCGGCCTGTTTCGACAGCCGCAACTCACTCTTCTTCGGTCGGAGGCTTTGGCACCTCCGACTTCTCCTATGGCCCATACCAACGGGGTAGGCCTTTCGTTTCGTCGACATTGTTGGTCCAGGCCCCATGGTTGGCTCCTCCCGACCATCCTCTTCCGTGATACGACATGGGAACAATCTACTCACCGTAATAGAGGGGGAACGACTAGCCACGAGGGAAGCTTGGCTAGGCATGCCGATCCGATCGAATCAAATGGAGATATGGTTGTGATGGTCATAAGAGCCGAGCAATTTTCCAATGAGGTTCCGCTTGGGGTTCGAGCCGTTTCAACCAGACGGTAAAAGTAGTGGCACTCGTCGAAGGGGAGGGGGCCTCCACCCTTTTACCCGCCCTATGATTATATTCACTTGGAATGTTAGGGGCCTTAATAGTCCCCTAAAACAACATGAGGTTGTCGGCCTCGTGAGAAAGGATCGGTTGGATGTTTGTGCTCTTTTGGAGACGAAGCTCGGTCTTCACAAAATTTCGCAGTTCGCATCGTCCGCATCCGAAGAGTTGAGGCTGCACTTCTAATGCCTCTGCTTGCCATGAATGGCCGCATTGTCTTATTCCGGAATCCGATTACGGTTCGGTTGAAAGTTTTGGAGGCCTCAACTCAAGGCCTTCATGTTTGGCTCAAAGAGCCTCGTTCTTTAGACGGTCTTTCATATGACTTTTGTCTATGGCTTTAACACCATTATTCGGCGATGGGAGCCTTGGGCGGATCTTCGTCGTTGGGAAATACAAGGGCCTTGGCTTGTCTAGGGTGATTTTAACTCTGTTCTCTCCCTCGATGATAAGCACGATGGGGACGAAGTCACTTCTTACGAGACTTCGAACTTTCGCTCCTGTTGTTTCGACTCGGGCCTCGGTGATATTAACTATGAGGGTAGTCACTTCACCTGGACTAACGGCCATGTCCGGTCGAAGATCGACCGTGTTCGGCTAATCCACACCTGGCCTACCCTTCAACGAACCCATATCGGTTCGGTTTCGTCCGTCGGGAGCCTTTTCGATTATGCTCGAGCCTTGCTCAAGCTCGATCGGTCGCCTTCCTCTGGCCGTAAATGTTTTAAGTTCTTCAATATGTGGGCGCCGCATGACGGCTTCCTCTCGACAGTTGTGCGATTTTAGCATTGTTCGGGGAGGGCGACCCTATGTATCCGTTCAGTCGAAAGCTCAAAGCTATGAAGTAGGCTGCTCAAACTTCTAAACTCGGTTCATTTCGGCCACATATCCGAGCGGGTCTCTCGTGCTGCTTGTCGAGCTTGATAACCTCCAACGGTCTCTTCATGCTGATCGGGATAATTCCTCCTTCCTCGAGCGTGAGAATCTTTCGCGACAAGCCCCGGCTCGTTTAAAATTAGCGGAGAAGATGTTTTTTGGTCAAAAGCTCAAATGTAAATGTCTTGAGGAGAGTGACAAGGGTAGTCGGTTTTTCATACTCTTATGCGACACCGTCGCAAGAGAAATTTCATTGCCTTAGTTCGAGGTCCCACGGGAAAGCCACTTCTTCTCCGTCGGCCGTAGGGGCCGTCTTTGTTGATTACTTTCGGAGTTTATGCGGGTCGCAAGGGACACAATCCCCCTTGATAGCTCGATTGTTGATATGGGTCCTCGGCTTAGCCTTCGACCACCTCAATATTACGGCTCCCATCACTGTCGACTCGATCAAGGATGCTTTGTTTAGTATCGATAATGATAAAACCCACGGGCTTGATGGGTTTACATCGTCGTTCTTCAAGTGTGCGTGGGGAATTGTTGGGTCTAATTTCGCGCTGCGGTCATAGACTTCTTCACC